TGGCTAGTTGCTAAGCCCTAGTTAGGGGTGATGATTAGGCTATAGGCCTAGGAGGCGGGAGAGGGAATAGAAAGCCCTTTGGTCCCATAAATTGGCCCACGCGGTGCGGGGCGGATGCATGCTAGGAAGCATGGCTAGGTGTGGCCCATTTCTTATAAGGGCTTTATTTTAAGAAGTACTTTCTGATCTTGACTTGGATGACCGGAAAAAAAAAAAAAAAAAAAAAAAAAAAAAAAAAAAAAAAACAGAGAACGATGAAATGGCAAGCACCCACACGATCCCGAGCAAATGGCCCCACCACTCATCGGCATGGGCTGCCTTGGTCTTGGCCACGGGCCAAAGGGCATATCATGACATAAGGAAAAGCAAGAGCAAATGCAAAGAGGGAACGAGAGAGAGACAGCGAGAGAGAGAGAGAGAGAGAGAGAGAGAGAGAGAGAGAGAGAGAGAGAGAGAGAGGGAGAGAGAGGGAGAAAGAGATAAAAGGAGAGAGAGCGAGGGGGCGAGAGAAGGAGAGAGCAAGGGAGAGGGAGGGAGTGAGAGGGAGTGAGAGAGAGAATGAGAGAGAGAGAAAGGGGAGAGAGAGAGAGAGAGAGAGAGAGAGAGAGAGAGAGAGAGAGCGAGAGAGAGAGAGAGAGAGAGAGAGAGAGAGATGAAGGAGGTGAACCGCGTTACGCGGACGCAATGGGTGACAAACGGTGATTATGACTTGTTCATGCGTCTATAGGCACACGTCCATCGCAAGTACATTCCCTTGGGGCACGATGGCTTGCATTCTAACACTTGTCTGGTCCATTGTCACTCGGCAAACATGCAGAGGTAATACGATACGAGGCGCCAGGCAACGGAGATCCATACGAGTTCGCTGTCACTGAAAAATCGGTCACGCAAATGTGCGGGCGGCTTCGCGCAACCCTTGCATGGTGGAGCTCGTGGTGCCCCAGCAGCCTCATCCTCTCTGTCATCGCTAACAGTTACTGGCTGCCATGGAGCCACAACCCACCACAACCGTTTCACGAGTGCAACCATCTCGGGGCGCACACACACGCTGCGTTCACACGCACTGCCATTCGCGAACTTACAGAGACTGGCGCGGCGGTAGTCACTCCAGCAGCGGAACTCACATGTATAAGCCCACTTAACGTGGTTGAGCAACGAGAAAAATGCAGGCTAATCCTCGACCTCAGGAAAGTGAACGCGCACCTGATCATCCCGAAATTCAAATACGAAGGCCCAAGCCGTGTGGCCGACCTGGCACGCATGGGAGATTGGATGTTCTCTATCGACCTCAAGTCAGGATACCACCATATTGACATACACAACTCTTGCTGGAAATTCCTTGGCTTCGCGTTCGAAGGGCGCACGCACTCCTTCTGTTCATTACCCTTCGGCCTCGCCACAGCGCCATTTGTCTTCACACAGCTCATCAAGCAACTAGCCAGGCGCTGGCGTGAACAAGGCGTTCGAGTGATACCCTATGTGGACGATATCCTGTTCTTATGCACGTCCAAGGCTCACGCACAAGCAACATGCCAGCAGATAATTTCGGACCTTAAGATGGCGGGCTTGGTGATTAACGCGAAAAAATCGCAGCTTTTACCATCACAACATCTGCGATTCTTGGGCGTCGAGCTGGACACCAAATCCGGACAATTCTCCATCGGCGCCGATCGACGGGCGTCACTGCACGCACATATTCGGAGCCTACTGGGCGCAAGCAAAGCGCGCCGACAAGTTCCAGTCCGCCACCTGGCCAGAGTCACCGGCACACTCGCGTCGATGGCCGTCGCACTCGGCGCCACGACTCGTGCATTCAGCCACGCCATGCTACAAGCAATAAACGATGCGCCATCCTGGGGAAGCAGCTTGAGCATTTCCCCACCTGTTGCTGAAGAGTTGCAGTTCTGGCTTGAAGAGTTTGACAAATTCAATGGCGCACCATTCCACGTCCGGAACAGTTACGACGCGGTAATTCACGTGGACGCGAGCTCCCATAGTTGGGGTGCCACACTGCTCACCTTCCCTGGTGAACTCGAGGAAGCAAGCGCAGCCATGCCGGAACCACTGCACATAACGTCCAGCACGCGGAGGGAAATTGAAGGCGTCCTTTGGGCCCTTCGAACGTACGCAAACAAGGTTCAGTACAAGCACGTGCTCGTGAGGGTGGACAACCAAGGGGTCTTTTTCATCCTTCGCAAAGGCGGCTCTCGCACCCCTGACCTCACCACCGCTTGCAAGGACATCATCCGCACATGCATGGAGCTCGGCACTCGACTAATTGTCGAATGGATCCCGCGCGAGCTAAACTCCCATGCCGATGAGCTGTCCAAGATGATCGACCATGACGACTACTGTTCGAAACAACCATGGTTCCGCATCCTCAATAGCCGCTGGGGACCTCACTCAATCGACCTCTTCGCGAGCCCAAACAACTCGCAGCTGCCACGTTTTTGCTCAAAGATACCACACCCGGGGGCCACTGCGATTGACGCATTCTCGATTTTGTGGTTGACCGAGAATGGCTTCGCGTTCCCGCCACCCCAGTTAGTCCCAGCAGTCATCCACCACGCACAACGCACCCACGCATCAATATGAATTTTTTCGAAAGTGTGTAACACTTTCTAAAAATGCGTATTTTGAAAGCGCAGCTGACTGTCACGAAGCAAAGCAACGGTGAATTACAATTCGCCGAGTACATAACGAGGGTTGGAGGCCATTCGGCCTCCACCCACAACTTCATTTCGGAACTTTGCAGTTCCACTCATTCTTGTCGAACCACCTCGAAAGTTTCCTCTGTCACTAGAACTACTTACTACGACTCACCTACAAGCGATCGATTTTCATGAAGGGCAACACTATCATGCGTGCGACTGTACTTAGCGGGCGCTCAACTGAGAGCGAAGTGCGCCGGACGAAACGCCAACAGGCGCGCCAAAGACGAAATCGCCAGTGGCACGCACTAGTGACGAAATTGCCACTGGCGCCAGTGGCTCGCGCTAGGGACAAAATCGCCACTGGCGCCAGTGGCAGGCGATTGGGACGAAATCGCCACTGGCGCAAGTGGCGCGCGCCAGGGACAAAATCGCCACACGCGCGCATGTGGCGAAATTGCCACGTACGCCAGTGGCGGAATCGCCACTAGCGCGCCATGGACGAAATGGCCGCTGGCGCGGCAATGACGAAATTGCCAATGCAGCGCCTTAGGCGTTTGACTGGGCGTCATTTGTTGCCTAAGTGCTGCAAGTCATTTTCTTTCGGTTTTATTTTCGTTATGTCCTCTTCGTTTATTTTCTATTAATCTATAAGCTCCTCTTATCCCTTGGTGGCAGAAAATCAGGCCCAACACTACAGTGGTGGAAAGACTTTTATAAAAGGCTCTACTAGTCGCGCGGGGAAATTACATGGACTACAGGATCAAACTGCACGCGCACCCAAGGACGTCTCCCAATAAAAAGAGCAGACAGAGGGTCTCCCCGTGTGGCCTGAGAGCCGTCCCCCAGGGGGGGAAGGGGACCAAGGGTCCCCGTGTGGCCAGAGAGCCGCCCCCCAGGGGGGGAAGGGGACCGAGGATCCCCGTGTGGCCTGAGAGCCGCCCCCAAGGGGGGGAAGGGGACCGAGGGTCCCCGTGTGGCCTGAGAGCCGCCCCCCATGTCAAACATTATATATGTTCTGCTTGTGTAGGCTACAGTGGGTTAGCCTATAGGGGGTACACAATTCTAGGGTTTCCTACTTGTACTCATTTCACTGCTAGTTCATTCATTTTTCCTGTTCGCTGATTCTCACATGGTATAGAGCGGGTCCTTCTACGGACCGTTTTTTTTTTGGCCCACCGAAGCGCCCCCCGAGGCGCGATTTTTTTTTAGCGACCCCTCGGGTCGTCATTTTCCCTGCGGCCCCGCCTCTTTCACTGACGCGGCCCCGCCGCCCTCTCTGACGGGGCTCCGCCGCCGGCCCTTACGCGGCCCCGTCGCTGGCTCTCTAGCGGCCCCGCAGCAGGCTCTGTCGCGGCCCCGCCCCGGCCTTTACGCGGCCCCGCCGCCTTCTCTCACGCGGCCCCGCCCCGGCTCCTTCGCGGCCCCGCCGCCTGCTCTCGCGCGGCCCCGCCCCGGCTTCTACGCGGCCCCGCCCCGGCTTTCACGCGGCCCCGCCGACGGCTTTGTCGCGGCCCCGCCCAGGCCCTTACGCGGCCCCGCCGCCTGCTCTCACGCGGCCCCGCCCCGGCTCCTTCGCGGCCCCGCCGCCTGCTCTCGCGCGGCCCCGCCCCGGCTTCTACGCGGCCCCGCCCCGGCTTTCACGCGGCCCCGCCGACGGCTCTGTCGCGGCCCCGCCCAGGCCCTTTCGCGGGCCCGCCGCCTGCCCCCGTCGCGGCCCGGTCGCCTCCTGACGGCCCCGCCGTCCCTTCGTGACGGCCCCGCCGTCCTTTCCTGACGGCCCTGCCGTCCCCTTCTACCGGCCCTGCAACTGCACCTGCTGGCCCCGCCGCTGCACCTACCGGCCCCCACCACCCACCCCCCCTTTTCCCGTCGCCTGTCGAGGCGACCTGAGGGGGCCGCTTGCGGGGTGGCACGTGTGTGGCCTCCCCTGCTTCTCCTCCTCCTTCATCGCTCACCTGCAGCAGCCGAGCCGCCCCACCGCCGAGCCGCCCTGCACCCGAGCCGCCCAGCAGCCGAGCCGCCCTGCTGCCAAGCCGCCGGGTCGCTGAGCTGCTGAGCTGCAGTTGCTGCCGAGCCGCCCTGCCGCCGAGCCGCCGAGTCACCGAGCTGCTGAGCTGCAGTTGCTGCCGAGCCGCCTTGCCGCCGAGCCGCCCGAGTCGCCCGAGCCGCCGAGCCGCCGAGCTGCCGAGCCGCTGAGTCGCCGAGCCTACTCTTCCCACCACTGGTGAGCTCTTGCCCTGCTAGCACGCTCACGTCGCCTGCTTGCCTGCCTGCCTGCCTTTTGGCTTGCCTGGCTGCCTGCCTTCCTGCTGCTAGTCCTGCTCCTGCTTCTACTTGCGGAGCCAGATGCAGCCCCAGCGACGCCTGCGTGAGTCCCTCACGCCCCAGCAGCTGCGTGAGTGGTACGCTGGTTGGGGCTGTAGGGGTGGCGACGCTACTCCTACTTCCACTCCTGCTGCTTCTACTCGTGGTGGCGGCCAGATGCAGCTCCCGCGACCCTCTCGCGTGTCTCTCACGCCTCGCCAGCTTCGTGAGTGGTACGCTCAGAGTGGAGGGTCTCTCAGTGCTGTTCGCTGCTCTTACGTGATTCGCACTGGTACTCGGACTGGTCAGCCTTGTGGGACACGTAGTCATACACAGTCCCGCTGCTTCGCCCGTCTGAGCGACGCCTGGCGTACCGTGTTTGGCGACGAGGCTGAGCTTCCCGACTGGGTGGAGTTGCTTAGGCAGAGGGTAGATATATATGCTCTTGACTATGATGCTATTCTCACTGCCATGTATGCATTGCCTACTAGTGCTGACCGTCCCGGTCACCTGTGCGTCCCGCCTGACCCAGGTATAGGACCTGCTGCTCTAGCTACTGGTGAGGCTGCTGCTCTGGGTGCTAGTGAGTCTCCTGCTCCAGGTACAGGTGCGGCTGCTGCTCTAGGTGCTAGTGAGTCTGCTTCCTTAGGTGCGGGTGAGGCTGCGCTCTCAGGTACCGCGTTGGCTTCGGCCTCCCTCACCTTTACACTTGACTCTGGGGCTTCTCGCTCCTTCTTTCGGGACCGCACCACACTCACGCCGCTTGGTCGGCCGGTTGCTGTCTCCCTGGCTGACCCCTCTGGGGGTCCTGTCCTCGCTCACTTCTCCACTGTCCTCCCGTGTCCGGCTGCCCCCTCGGGCACCCTGTCTGGCCTGTACCTCCCCTCGTTCTCGACGAACTTGGTGAGTGGTGCAGACCTACATGATGCGGGGGTTCACCAGTTCACTCCTGCGAGTCAGCGGGTGACCCACTGCACGGACGCACGCACAGGCCGGCACCTGGCCACATTCTCGCGTCGGCCGGGGTCGAGCCTCTACACCCTGACCACTGAGTCTCCTCCTGTCCCCGCGTCCGGTCAGGTAGCAGCGTCGGGTCAGGTGTTTGCTGCTGCGTCCAGGTCTGGTCCTGAGTCTGCCCCCTGTTCGTGTCGCCTCCTGTCTCACGAGACTCTTCTGTGGCACCACCGTCTAGGCCACCCCTCCTTGCCCCGTCTTCGGGGCATGGCTTCCCGTGTCCTTGTCTCTGGTCTTCCCCAGTCTCTCCCTCCCCTTCCTTCGGGACCAGGACCTTCCTGTGTCCCCTGTGTCGAGGGGCGCCTCAGGGCTGCTCCTCACTCCTCCCAGTTTCCCCCGCCAGAGGCTCCTCTGCAGACGCTTCACATGGACGTGTGGGGCCCGGCAGCCGTCCGTGGACAGGGTCACGAGCGCTACTTCCTGTTGGTGGTTGACGACTACTCGCGTTACACCTCAGTCTTCCCCTTGCGCAGCAAGGGTGCTGTCACTGAGGTGCTGATCGACTGGATCCGCGAGGCTCGTCTCCAGCTCAGGAGGAGCTTCGGCTCGGACTTTCCTGTTCTGCGTCTGCACTCTGACCGAGGTGGGGAGTTCTCCTCTCGCCTTCTGCGAGACTACTGTCGTGCACAGGGGATCCGCCAGACCTTTACGCTTCCGGACTCTCCACAGCAAAATGGGATTGCTGAGCGCCGCATTGGCATGGTCATGGATGTCGCTCGTACGTCCATGATGCATGCGGCTGCCCCCCATTTTCTGTGGCCGTTTGCGGTTCGGTACGCGGCGCATCAGCTCAACCTTCACCCCAGGGTCTCTCGGCCCGCGATGTCCCCAGTGTTACTGTGGACGGGGAAGGTCGGCGATGCGTCTGCGTTCCGTGTCTGGGGATCTCGGGCGTTTGTCCGCGACTTGTCTGCGGACAAGCTGTCCCCCCGTGCTGCTCCCTGTGTCTTCCTTGGCTTCCCCCCTGACGCTCCAGGGTGGCAGTTCTACCACCCCTCCTCTCGTCGTGTTCTGTCCTCCCAGGACGTCACGTTCGATGAGTCAGTCCCCTTCTACCGCCTCTTCCCCTACCGTACTCCTTCCCTCCCCCCCCCACCGGACTTCCTGGTACCAGTTCCCCCCCCGGTAGACCCCCTCCCCCCTCAGGTTCCTGCCCCTTCAGGTGTGTCCCAGGTAGACACGGTCGAGCCAGTCGAGGTTGCTGCTGAGTCTGGTCCTGCTGCGGGTGCTGAACCTGGGGGTGCTGCTGCTGGGGGTGCTGAGCCTGGGGGTGCTGAACCTGGGGGTGCGAGGCCGGGGGGTGCTGAGTCTGGGGGTGCTGAGCCGGGGGGTGCTGAGCCGGAGGGTGCTACGTCAGGAGCTGCTGAGCCTGGGGGTGCTGGGCCTGGAGGTGCGGAGCCTGCGCCTGCTGGACCTGGGGGCTCTCCGGTTCTTCCGTCTCGGCGGGAGCCGCTCTCTCCACAGGAGCTGCGCGAGTGGTTTGCTCGCCGCTGGAGGCGTGCTGCTGGAGCTGGAGCTTCTTCGCCTGCTGAGGGTGCTGCCGGTCCCGGAGCTGCTGGGCCTGCGAGTCCTACTGGAGCTGGAGCTACTGAGTCTGGGGGTGCTGAGTCTGGAGCTGCTGAGCCTGGAGGTGCTGAGTCTGGAGCTGCTGAGCCTGGGGTTTCTCCTGCTGCTGCGTCTCACCGGGAGCCCCTCTCTCCACAGGAGCTGCGCGAGTGGTTTGCTCGCCGCTGGAGGAGTGCTACTGGAGCTGGAGCTTCGTCGACCGTCGAGGGTGCTGGTGCTGCCGGTCCCGGAGCTGCTGGGCCTGCGGGTCCTACTGGAGCTGGAGCTGCTGAGGGTGTTGGTGCTGAGACTACTGCTGTCTGTCCTGGCGGTGGTTCTGCTGCTGGTGCTGCTGGAGGTCCTGCCGCTGGAGGTGTTGGTGGCGCTGGTGCTGTCGCTGAGGGTGCTGGTGCTGTCCCTGCTGAGTCTGGAGCTGCCGCGCGGCCTCGGCCGTACTTCGTTCCGCTCCTACAGCAGGTTCTTGGTCTTTCTCCTTCGGTAGAGTGTCCACAGCCTGTCCAGTCGCAGTCACTGTTGGAGCCTTCCTCTCCTCTGCCTGCTCCCTCTCCTTACACTGGTCCTACTGGAGGTCTTGCTGAGCGCCGTGAGCCTGCGTCTCGTCCCGCGTCGCCGGTTCGTGCTGCTCGCGCTAGTGGTCGCGGTTCGCGTCAGCGTCCTCCTCCTGTCCCTGGCACGCACCGGATGTCTCTGCGTCCGTCCACTGCTCCTCTGCGTGCCCCTTTGCCTTCTCCTCCTGAGTCCTCTCTTCCTCCGCTTGCCGACCCTGAGTCGGACTCTCTTCGCGCTGCCAGTCCTACTGTCACGCGTCTGCTTGCTACTGTCGTCACTGACCCCTCTTTTGAGTCCACTGCTGCGTCTGCTCTAGTCGCTGAGCTCGTTGACTTTGCTGCTCGCTGTCGTCTCGACTACGCTGCTAGTCTTGTTGCTGAGTCTGCGTCTGTCTGTCCTCCGTCCGTCGGGGGTGAGTGTGCTCTTGGCACGGACGTCCTAGAGGACAGGCAGGAGGAGTTACAGTGTCTAGCGGCTGCTTCACCTCATCTCGCGTCTGTACTGCTTGCCCCTGAGGGAGACCCGGATGCACTAGACATCCCGACTCCGCGTTCTTACGCGGAGGCCGTAGAGGGTCCCTACTCCTCTCAGTGGCAGGCAGCTATGGATGCAGAGATGGCTTCCTGGAAGTCCACAGGCACCTACGTTGACGCGGTTCCCCCTCCTGGGGCGAACATCGTCAGTGGCATGTGGATCTTCAGGGTGAAGCGGCCGCCGGGCTCTCCACCTGTCTTCAAGGCACGGTACGTTGCTCGTGGCTTCAGTCAGCGGCAGGGAGTTGACTACTTTCAGACCTTTTCTCCCACCCCGAAGATGACCACTCTTCGGGTGCTGCTGCACATAGCCGCTCAGCGCGACTACGAGCTTCACTCTCTCGACTTCAGCACTGCGTTCCTGCAGGGTAGCCTGCACGAGGAGATGTGGCTGCGCCGTCCACCTGGCTTCACTGGGACTTTCCCTCCTGGCACCCAGTGGAGCCTCCGACGGCCAGTCTACGGTCTCCGCCAGGCACCGCGTGAGTGGCACGACACACTGAGGACTACGCTTGCGGCTCTTGGGTTTGCTCCTTCTACTGCTGACCCGTCGCTGTTTCTGCGCACCGACACTTCACTGCCGCCGTTCTACATCCTCGTGTACGTCGACGACTTGGTCTTTGCCACAGCGGACACTGCTGGACTCGCCTACGTGAAGTCCGAACTGCTGAAGAGACACACGTGCACAGACCTGGATGAACTGCGCAGCTACCTTGGCTTGCAGATCACTCGGGACAGAGCACGCCGCACCATTACCTTGACTCAGTCACACATGGTGCAGCAGGTCCTTCAGCGCTTTGGCTTCACGTACTCCTCGCCTCAGGCCACTCCTCTGCCTACTCGCCACTCACTCTCAGCTCTGCCTTCGGATGAGTCCGTAGAGTCGAGTGGTCCGTATGCAGAGCTTGTTGGCTGCCTCATGTACCTGATGACCTGCACACGACCTGACCTTGCATACCCTCTGAGCATTCTTGCACGCTATGTTGCTCCTGGGAGACACAGACCAGAGCACATGGCTGCAGCGAAGAGGGTATTGCGCTACCTGTGCAGTACGTCGGGCATGGGGCTAGTGCTTGGAGGGCGGAGTCCAGTGGTCCTTACCGGCCACGCGGACGCTTCTTGGGCTGACGATCAGGCTACGCAGCGGTCGTCACAGGGTTACACCTTCAGCCTTGGTTCCGGCTCTGTCTCGTGGCGGTCTACTCGCTCGTCTTCGGTTCTCGGCTCCAGTTGTGAGGCTGAGATCTACGCCGGGGCCATGGCTGCACAGGAGCTTCGCTGGCTCACCTACCTGCTCACTGACCTTGGAGAGCCACCTCGTTCTCCTCCAGTGCTGTACGTAGACAACAAGGCCATGCTGGCCTTGTGTCGAGAGCAGCGCTTGGAGCACAGAACGAAGCACATTGCTCTCCGCTACTTCCTTGCTCGTGAGCTGCAGCAGCGTGGTCAGTTGCGACTTGCGTACGTGGCCTCTGAGGCCAACACTGCTGATGTGTTCACCAAGGCACTCGCGCCTTGTGACCATCAGCGCTTTTGCACCCAGCTGGGTCTTGTGCCTGTCTTGCCTCACTTGCTCTCCTCTTGACTTCACTTGTACTATGACATATATATATACCTGCTCTTGCTTGTCCAGTTTTATATATATGTCTGTACTCCTGCATGTGAACTGGCCTCTGGCCCTGCTCTTGTGCTCGGACTGTGTGGTGACTTTGTGATCCACCCTGAGCTTGCTTTGCTTTGCTTGACTGGTCTTGTGACCCCTTGTTCTCCCCCACTTTGCCTATGGGGGTGTGTCAAACATTATATATGTTCTGCTTGTGTAGGCTACAGTGGGTTAGCCTATAGGGGGTACACAATTCTAGGGTTTCCTACTTGTACTCATTTCACTGCTAGTTCATTCATTTTTCCTGTTCGCTGATTCTCACACCCCAGGGGGGGAAGGGGACCGAGGGTCCCCGTGTGGCCTGACAGCCGTCCCCCAGGGGGGGAAGGGGACCGAGGGTCCCCATGTTGGGCTTGCCGTAAGATGGGCTGAATTTCGAACAATGTGTGTGTTAGTATGGATCATCCTTGGCTATTGATATAACCGTATATGATAAAATTTCAAAAAAAAAAAAAAAAAAAGGGGGGGGGGGGGGGGGGGGGGGGGGGGGGGGGCTCTGTTGTGTGATGCAACCATATGCATTCACGTCTGTCTGCCTCCCATCATGTGTTTGTGCGTTGCATGCATGGTGTGAGCGTGTGCAAGAAATTTGTGTCTTGTGTGGTTTGGATTTTCTATGTGTGTGTGTGTGTATGTTATTTGGCTTGAGCAGATATCTGAAGTGATTCCTCTACTCAAGAGCTTTCCGACGAACCATGAATCGTCGCGATCGGAGCACAACCAAGAAAGTTACGAACATTGGAGTTCGTATGCTTATATATTTTGGTTGCAGCTACTTTGGGAAGTTGTGGCATTGACTCAATATGGGGTACAGACTTGTGGGGGTTGGGAAACTCGAACCCATCACTGTAGATGCTGCCAAGAGGTTGGGTGAAGCCAAACCAGGTTGGTAAGTGTGGCCAAGTTGTGGTGAGGTGGATGGCATGGGTTGGAAAGTGACAAAGGTCAAAGTTTGTTGCCTATGGGGAAGGGAATTGTGTGGCATGGGGTTTCGTTGGTTGGGGACTCTCTCTTGGGACCTTCCCTCTCGTCCTCCTCTTCCCCTCCTACCAGGTTTAGTGCTACTCTAATGTTCTTTTGTGGGACTTGTGAGTTAATTGTGATTGAGTTAAATTTCTGTGGCAGCATACCCCCTAGTGCGCCGAAAAGTATAACTCGAGATATGCTTCATATTTTGATACGATTCAAATTAGGAGATGTAGCCACGGTCTAGGGCTACATCATATTCGAATTTCGTGGGATTCAAACAGTGCACCTTTCGTCGACAACGTTTCTTGTGAAGTCGACGTTTCTGTCCAGAAATTGAGACCAACGATTTTGAGAAATTTGGGCACCTAATCTTCATAGACTCCTTCCTAAGTTTTTAACAGGCTCAAACATTTTTTGACAAACAAAGGTTGGTTGGTGCCCCATCAATTTCCAGGGAAGCAATTGTTTGGAGTGACCTGGTTACAAATGGTTGGTAGAGTGCAACTCAAGATGGATTTTGAATCTGACTTGACTATGGTAAGCCCGGTGCCCGTTGATGAATCTGGATTTTGAATCTGACTTGATGAAGCCCGTTGCCTTTGCAAGAACAGAAAGCAAGCTTTCTCAATCACCCTCGTTGTCCCACACTGGATAGGGGCAACCTGGTGGCCGCTCCTACAACCCTCCCCACCTAGCAGGGCCCCGCACATCCAAGCGCACATTCCCCTGACGCAAGGCAGCCAATGTTTAGCAGTAGGAACGCACCGCACCGCTTTCTCAGGCACAGGATTGCCTCATAGTACAATCGTCGCATTACAAGTGGTCTTCAACTAACACATCTCGTCCTCATTCGCGCAGACGTACTGCCAAAACTACAAGGCCAGCTTCTAAAGATGCTCTTGTCAGAGGTCCACTGGTGATCCCCGATTGATCCTAGGGAAGGGTTACAGGCTCGTTGTCCTGGGGGGTTATGGGCGCACTGACCCGCTACTTAACAAGCCCTTTTATCCCAATGGTCTAGTGGTTGGGATTTTGACATGGTATCAGAGCGAAGGTCCCGGGTTCGTATCCCGGTGTGTGCACTTCGGGCATCCCAGTGCGGGGGGGTATCAGAGGTCCACCGGTGATCCCTGATTGATCCTAGGGAAGGGTTACAGGCTCGTTGTCCTAGGGGGTTATGGGCGCACTGACCCGCTACTTAACAAGCTTTTTTATCCCAATGGTCTAGTGGTTGGGATTCTGACAGCTCTTGCTGTCTCGCGCTGACTCAACGATCCAAACATACGAGCCATACTGGGTCAAGTTTCGAGCCTTCTGTTCAAAGGTGAGCCTCCCATTCCTCCCCGCGGCGGACATGACCCTCGCACTGTACTTGGTGTACGCCATCACACGCAAAGCCACCCTATCCATGGTACAACTTACATGCTCAGCCGTGAGCTTCGCCCACCGCATGACCGGGAGCGCATGCCCAACGGTAGGACCATTCACCACTCAAGTACGCGACTTTGCAAAAAGGCACTGTCCTCGCCCCATGAGAGTGAAGGAGCCCGTCTCGCTGCAACAAGTTCGTGACATGTCTGCTGGATACCTGCAATCTGACAACCCTGGGGAATTCCAGAAAGGGCTCATCCCCATTCTCATGTACTCCGGTTTCCTGCCATATTCGGACCTCGTCGCCATGGAGTGGCAAGACATCCAGTTCGACGACGAGGTCATGTGGATCCTCATTCCGTACTCCAAGACGGACCAAGCTGGAAAGGGCACATGGGTACCTATCGCTGCAACACACGATCCCTTCTGCCCTGTCCGCTGCACTCGACGACTTATTCGACTCGCAGGATATGACCAGCAGTTGGGGGGGGCGTTGATTCGCATCTTCGCTCACACTTCCACCCAAGGTGGCCAAGCAAGGCCACCCTCATATCCGACAATCCGAAACTGGTGCAAACAGGCCTTCGGGAAGATCGGACTTGGAGAACAGCAGGTGGGAACTCATTCCTTTTCTTAAGGGTGCAGCCACTGCCGCGGCAAACACCGGCGTGCCAGACAGAATCTTCAAACGACTGTGTCAGATTTATATGACATAGCTGTTGTAGGCTATAGTGGGGTAGCACATATGGGGTACGACTTTCTAGGGTTTGTACTTGTACCCAACTATCCCTTAGTCAATTCATTCTCGTTCATTTTCTCAAGGTATCGAGCAGGTTCCCCTGTGGGAACTGTTCCTAGGGCCCACCACCTTTTTTTTCCTTCCCAGAGCGTGCTCTACTCTGCCCGAGTCGCGCTCCCCTCTTTCGACCCTGTCGCGTCGCACTTGCGGCCCCGTCGCGTCGCACTTGCGGCCCCGTCGCGTCGCACTTGCGGCCCCGTCACGTCGCGCCGCCCTAGCGCCCGCGTCGCGCCGCCCTCGCGGCCCCGTCGCGCCGCCCTCGCGGCTCCGTCGCGTCGCGCCGCCCTCGCGGCCCATTCGCGCCGCCCTAGCGGCCCTTTCGTGCCACCCTCGCGGCCTCTTCAAGCCGCCCTCGCGACCCCCCCTCCTAGCCGCCCTAGCGGCCCCGTCGCCTACCCCTGCGGCCCCGTCGCCTACCCCTGCGGCCCCGGCACCCCCCTTTCCGACCCCGGCGCCGCCCTTCCCGGCCTCGGCGCCGCCTCTGCTGGCCCCGTCGCCTACCCTGCGGCCCCGGCGCCTACCCTTCGGCCCCGGCACCTACCCTGCGGCCCCGTCGCCTACCCTGCGGCCCCGGCGCCTACCCTGCGGCCCCGGCGCCTACCCTGCGGCCCCGTCGCCTACCCTGCGGCCCCGGCGCCTACCCTGCGGCCCCGTCGCCTACCCTGCGGCCCCGTCGCCTACCCTGCGGCCCCGGCGCCTACCCTGCGGCCCCGGCGCCTACCCTGCGGCCCCGGCGCCTACCCTGCGGCCCCGGCGCCTACCCTGGGGCCCCGGCGCTACCCTTCCCGGCCCCGGCGCCGCCTTTACCGGCCCCGCCGCCGTCCCCACGCGGCCGCTGGCGCCGCCGAGCTACTGCCGAGCCGCCCCAGCCACCCGAGCTGCCCAAGCCGCCGCGCCACCTGAGCCGCCCGAGCCGCCGTGTCGCCGAGCTATCGAGCCGCCGTACCGCCGAGCCGCCCGAGCCACTAGAGCCGCCAAGTCGCCGAGCCGCAGTTGCTCCCGAGCCGCCGTACCGCCGAGTCGCCCGAGCCGCCAGAGCCGCCGAGTCGCCGAGCTGCAGTTCCTGCCGAGCTGCCGAGCCGCCGAGCTGCCCGAGCCGCCCTGTCCGGTAAGAGCAGCGCCTCTGTCACTGCACTGCCCTTACCCCACTGTTCGTGCTACTAGTCTACTGCTGTCATGGCTACCCCTAGTGTCCTCGCTTTTGACACTGAGGGTCGGGCCATTGACTTTGATGTCTGGGTAGATGACCTGCAGCTTTTCCTACAGTGCGATAGGGCAGACGGTCTCTCCCTCTTTGACCTCACCTCTGGTGCCTCTCCTGCCCCTGCTGCTGATGCTGACGCCACTGTTTGCTCACAATGGGCCACACGCGATGCTGCTGCACGTCTTGCTGTGCGTCGCCACCTGCCTACCTCTGAGCGTGCACACTTTAGCCAGTACAAGAGTGCTCAGACCTTGTACGACGCTGTAGTTGCACGCTACTCCTCCCCTGCCACTGCTGCACTGAGCCGCCTCATGCTACCGTACCTCTTCCCTGACCGTTTCTGCCTTTCCCACAGTCGCTGACCTCATTACGCACCTCCGCACTAGTGACACTCGCTACCGCGCTGCGCTTCCTGCTGAGTTCTGCGCCAAGAACCCCCCCCCCCCATGTACATCACCCTCTACTACATAGTCACTCGGCTCCCTGACTCTCTCCGCGTAGTTAGGGACCACTTCCTCTCAGTTTGCCCCACCACTCTCACCGTTGACCTCCTCGAGAAGGCCCTACTAGCGGCAGAGA